AGGATCCTTTCAATAAATGTTGAAAAATATTTGACTTAACAACATTTCATGATTGAAGAGGTCCACAAAAAAAACCATACAAGAAAATTACCACAACAAAGGCATAACATAAAAAGCCAATGGCAGGTATTATACTCAGTGATGAAAAACCTAAAAAACTTCTAAGATCAGAAACAAGGCAAGGATTTGGCTCTTGCAACTTCTCATCATTACAGTACTGAAAGTCCTAGTCAGAACAATGATCAGAAAAAAAATCGTCAAAATCAGAAATAAGATCATCTCTGTCTGCTAATAATATTATCTCATGTCAAGAGCTGTAAAGGTTCCACATACTATTAAAAACTGTTATAACTCGTAAACCTAGGAAAATTGCAGCATAGAAGATCAACATCAAAATTTCTTGTGTTTCTGTAGAGTGAAAATGTACCATCCCTCCCAAACAATGAATAAAACAATCTTACAACAGCATTAAACAGTAAGATAAAATAGGAATGAACCTAATTGAAAAGCAAAATACATGCTCAATGAAAATTTCAAATCATGCTAAAAAAATTCAAGGAGACACAAATAAAGGGAGAGAAAGCACATAGTTATGGATTCCAAGACTTTTTACTACAAAAATAACAACAATAACCAAAGAGATTATAGAATGGTGCAATTTTATATGAGAAACACAAAGTATAAACAAATTTTCAAAGCAAAATAAAAGACAATAGGAAACAATGAGAGCAATCTTTTGCAAATGGGAAAGGGATCCAGAGGTGGGGTGGGGAGGAGGGAAGGAAAAGGGAATGTGGAAAATTAAGATATGGTAAGTATATGTTCTCCTTATGATGAATGCAAACACTCAACATGATACTAACATAAAGGAAAACTTATAGATCAAAAGAAGACAATAGAGGGTCTATAAATAAACACATGCATATTTAATAGCATAATCTTTGATAAAGATACAAAGACTACAAAATAAGTTTGGTATAGTATCTTCAATACAATCTTTTGGGAAATTTTGATATTTACATGCAAAGGAATAAATGGATTCTAATTTTATACCATACCTTAAAATCAATCAAAAACTGAGTAAGGACTTAAACTTAAACACAAGAAAACTACAAAATTATTTGAAAAACACATGCATAAAACCTCACACAATTGATTTCAGATATGATTTCTTATATATGACACAGATAATGTAAGCAAAAGTAGCCAAGTGGGATTATGGCAAACTAAGGGCTGGGGAGAGCACTCAGTGGCTTCAGTGCCTGCCTGGCCAGTGCAATCCTCCATTCGACCCCAGGTACCACCAGGGGCAGGAGAGAATGCTTCTGTACAGTGAATGAAGCCATCAAAACACATAATGGAAACCTACAGCCTGGGAGAAAATATTTGCTTAGAATATGTCTGGTCAGAGCTTGATATTATAAATATATAAGAAACTCTTACAAGTGATTAAAAAAACAAATAATTTAATTGAAAAATGAGGGCTGAGGAGATAGCCCAGTAGAATAAATGTTTGTCTGGCAAGCACAGGGTCCTGAGTTCAATCCCTGGCACTGTAAAACAAAACAAACAAAAAAATTCAAAAATGACAAATCATGTCCAACAGAGAAGAGGTCCAAGGGAAAAAGAGAGACACAAGGAGGTAGGGAAAGAGATATGCGAGGAATAAATATGTGTCATGTACAACAACCTATGACTCTGAACAGTGTAAACATAATATGCCAAAATAAGAACTAAGAGGAGCAATACCAACAAGTAGGAAAATGGTGATGGGGCACCAGAGGATGGGCAGCAAGGGGCAGGGGATTAGGAAAATAAAAGCTGCAATATGTACATGTAACCACTCCCCATGACTGCAAACTGCATGAACTGCAAACATGTACTAATAAAATAAAATTTCAAAACATTCAGAAATAGACAGCAACACTGTACTGTACTCCAATGCTGGATGAAATATTTGCCACAGCTTGAAAGAGGAATGATTTAATTTAATTCATAGTTTTAGGAGATTCCAGTCATAGTCAGCAGGCTCTAAGAAAGAAAGGCACAGTGGAGCTAAACTAATAGTTCCTGGAAGCCAGGAAGCAAAGCAGGGGAATAGTGCCAGAGAGGAATGGGCACGTTAAGACACAAGCCAAGCCCACATGACACACCCAAACATACCCAGGAGCCTGCCTATCAACCTGCTGGGCATTGCTTAATAGTGAAATTGACAAATGTGGATTAAAAGTCACAAACTTGAATAAACATTTCCCCCAAAAAAGCTGACAAATGGACAACAGCCACACAGAATGAGGTATCAGTTTACATGTTTTAGAAGTGGAGAGGGAGATTGCTAAGAACATGGATCAACTGGAAGCTTTGTATCCCTAGTGATGAGACGGCAAAATTAGACAGCTACTGTAGGAAACAGTACAGGCATTCTTCTAAAAAAAATACAATTGTCATATAATCCAACAATGTGGGTATATATGCAAAAACTTGACAAAGAATTTGCAGAGATTTGCACATCATGTTCATTACAACATTGTTCACAGTAGTTAAGATGCACATCCATATTCTAAACGTCCATTAGCAGATGAATAAATAAAATGCAAAATATATCTAGAAAGGAGTATTCCTCAGATTTACCAAAGAAGAAAATCTTGCCATATGTGAAAATCCAGGTGAACTGAGGTCATTCTGCTAAGTGAAATTAGCTAATTACAGAAGGATAAATACTGCATGACTCCACTTGTGAAATATCTAACCTTGCCAAACTATAACCTTCATTATAGATGAAGAAAGTAGGATGGAAGCTGCATGGAAATGGAGAGAGTGAATGTGGTAGTTACTATTCAACAGGTATCATTTCAGTCAAGCAAAAGGAAAAGGTAATAAGGATTTGCTGAGCTACTGTGTGTATGTAATCAACTCCTAATTTATTTTTATTTATTTATTTTTTTTTGCGTAACTGGGGATTGAACTCAGGCCCTTGTGCTTGCCAGGCAAGCAGTCATTCTACTGAGCTATCTCCATGGCACCTCTCTTAAATTTTTTATAAAGGATAGAGTTCATGTTTTGTGGGAATTTTTTTCTCATAGTATAAAGGTAAAAAGGACTTTGAGTATGAAGATTTAAAAACAAATAGACTCTTACAGGTTTCAGATAGTTAAGGCAGAATCTTATATTCAAGGAAAGAGAATTTAGGTAACTTCTCAAGTCTTTTCCAATGTTTCTGTTTCCATGGTTACAGTTATTAGGATTTAACACACTATACACCCAACCAAATTGATAGACTGTAGGGTGGAAAGTGGGGGGACAACTTCCCATGCATTCAGCCCCTCAAGAAATAGTATCTGTCTCACTTCAATGAGCTAATCATGAGGCCCAATAAGAAAGGGTACTTTGGAGAAACTGGAATTTAGCCCAGTACTGCAGTAAAATCTGCTTTGATTTCTCAGTAGAAATAAAAAAAAAGTAAAACACAGTAAAGGACTATTAAGGAAGAAAACATCTGTCATCTTGGACAGAATTTAAGTCCCACCAAATGAAATGAGTGCCTTAGGGAAAAACACCATGTCATGCTAGAAAGTACTGAGTTACTCCTTGCTTGTTCCTCCTTTGGTTTCCATGCAGTCAATATACCATATCTTGCCCTAGACCCTGCCGCCTTCTCCAGCAATGAAGATGCATGAACTGAAGTTAGCCTGTGGTTAGGGGTTTGTCAGAAAATGGTTTCAAAATAAAAGTATGGTATGTTCAAACCCACACAAGACCAGACTCAAGTTAGCTGGCATGAAAGGAGTGGTTTATTGGAGCAACTAGCATGTGCCGGGCTGCTCAGCAGACCTGAACAGCAGCAATGGCTGGGGAGGCAGGGACTTTATAGAGCCCGCAGGAATGGAGAAGGGGAGTCATCAAGTGTCTTCGCTGGGCCAGGGTGTTCTGGGCACAAAGTATAGAGTCCTTGAAACAAAGCTATATGCATAAGCAGCCGGACACAGACAGTCAAGGTTAAAGCTCTGCAGCACAGTTATGGCTGGCACATCTGGGAACATCGGAAGTGGTGCAGGGTAAGGGGGCCAGGGCTGGGTGCCTTAACACTTAACTTGGTTCTACCTCAGTGACACATGTATACTTTCACATGAAAGCCTTGTTCTACTGGCAATGTTTTTTCTTGAGAAAATAGCAGTGCTGCTAGTTCCAAAACTTAACTGACAAACATACACATGACATGCACACACACACACACACACATATATATACACACACAGAGACACACACAAACACATCTCTAACAAGTCCTATTTGGTCCAGTTTGAAACATAAGATGAGTATCTCCTAGAAGAACTGAATGAAAACATTGTTCAGTGGGACGTTACAATTTGAAAAGGGTCATAATGATAATGCTAGTTGATATTAAGAAACGTACTCTTGATTTTCAACGTTTTAAAATTTAGCTTATTTGGTGAACCTAGAAATATATTTTAAGCCAGTATGATGGAGTATAGCATCCTTGTAACATTCCATAGAATACCAATAGGAACTGGGATATAGTTCAGTGGCATAAGCACCTACCTAGCACGCACAAGATCCTAAGTTCAATTCCCAGTACAAAAATATTAAATAAAACCAAGACAGAATACACAATAATAAGTATGAGAACTAGTTTGACAATTTCCTTTCATTTACATCTATTTCACAATGAAATCAAAGGAGCTGAATTTATGTATTTTGTAGTCGCAGAGTTCTTATTGATATGGTGTATGACCATTATTACTTTTTGTTCTTTTTTGGTGGAACCGGGGATTGAACTCAGGCCCTTGCACTTGCAAGGCAAGCTCTTATTCTACTGAGCTATCTCCCTAGCCTCTCATTATTATTCACTTAACACATTTTTAAAATTAACAATATCTTCAGTAAAGAAATGCAAAACATAACACAAACCTTGAAACAGTCAGCAGATCAGAAGAAAAATATGTTCTTTGTGAACTTGACTGAAATGTATTCATAAAAGTTTTCTAAATGAGAACTGTTCATAAAAGAAGTCCATGGAAGACAGTGTGGCTCTGACATGTCAGATGCATCTAGAAATGAAGAAGAGTATACCATCAGGGCACACTCAGAATACCATTGCTGCCCACCCCAGCCCTGAAATTGTTAGCATATTGTCCATATCCATTAATTGTGTACCCCCAAATTTTCAGTTCATAAGTTCAGGTGGGGCTATAATCTTCCACCATTATGTTGAGAAATGACTAAAGGCCAAAAGCATTTAGCAGCTAAGCAAATATCTGCACTTCTCCTTCCCCACCCACTATGCTCCGAAGACCTGGGTAGCAAATGAGCACAGCGCAGAAGGCTGTTGCCTGAGTGCTGCAGGGATGGGACTTTATGCCAGGCGCTCCCAACACAAGGGTTCTTTGACCCAAACAACAGCCCTGCAGCCGCAGAGTCCTGGCTCCATTTCACAGATGAGAAAAACTAATGCAGGGATTGTTGCTTCAGGTTTAGAACCTGTGTCCTCTAATAACCAAAAGGCTGTGTCCTTCATTTCATTTTATGTTTTTTTGTTTTGTTTTGTTTTGTTTTGTTTTGTGATTTAGAAAAATATTCACAAACAGGATTGACAAGAGGATGAATAACACCACAATATACTAAGTTAATTCAAGTATTACTAAGTTAATTTGAAATTGTCTTTCCAAATTTATTTTTGTACTATATATTATCTTAGTCCCACAGAAATTTGGGCATCCAGCTTTAAGCAATGCATTAAAAGCTTTCTTCTTTGGGCAAGGACAGCAAGCCTCCTACAAACCAGTGGCTCCCTGTTATGGGGCTGGCTGTGTGCCTGCCTACATCAAGGACAGCGATGCCAACTTTTCATCTTCCTCTGGCCCCTCCACATGACTCACAGCCCTTTTACTCTCCAAGAGAAAGAACATTTGGTTTTTCTGATGCAATTAGAAACAGAAACTCACATCATCAGTGCATATCCCTGAGTAATATAACTGTATCTTATGTGGCTTCATGTATCTCAATGGCTGAAGGCAACTGAACAAGGATTGGCAGGGATCTCTGGACTCATTCTGAGTCAATGATCTACATGTTTCTGATGGTGCTGGTACCAACATAGAGGGGTAAAGTTTACTCTCCACCAGGTTTCCTAGTACCCATTCTTACAGTGGAGTATTTTAGGACCAACACACATCAACTCAACTTTCAATTGTAAGATTTCCTTCAAAGTAATAAATCAGACCCACATGTCTAAATATCATATTGTCTTGCTAGTGTAAGAGCTCAAAAGAAGAAAGAAAAATTGAAAGTTACAACACAGTTAAATGGAAGGCAAAAACTTAAGGATTAAATGATGAAGAGAGAGCAAAAAGAAAAGTTAAGAAATATGAAAAGAACAAAACTATTCGTTTATATGAACAAGATGGTTACGCAATGGTCCTAAGAATTTCCATCAGGTTTTTTAAAGTAGTAGTTAATGGGTTGAATTCTCACCCTAACTCTATATGCTGATATCTGTGAACTAAACAACTACATTGCAAAAAGCAATGTGTAATACTAAAACCATGCTTAACATACCTGCCATTTTGGTCTTCTAAATGCATACTGCTTCTAATGTCATAACAATTATAGCTATACTCTCTTTAAAGAAAATGTATGTTTAAAAAAAGGTAACAAAAGTAAACAAGGGACAAGAAAAACAAAATGTAGCAGGGTTGCTACAATGATGAATATGGTTCGATTTCTAAATATCCGTGTAAAAATGTGTAACTGTTTTTTTAAACATTTTATATGGATTTAAATTTGAGAATATCCCTGGTAGTTGAAAAATAGTAGTTTCATTTTATGCCTAAGATTTGTGATATTCAGACAGATAGTGATGTTAAACTTAACTGCCTCTGTTATAGGATAATAGTATCAGTAAGCTTCTCTTCTAGATGTTTTTTTAAAAATATTTATTTATTTTTATTTATTACATTTATTTATTGTGTGTGTGTGTGGCCAGCTCAGCCCACCAGGGGGTGGGTCTGGCTGGCATGTGGTGCTGGGGATCGAACCACGGTCCCTGTGCTTTGCCAAGCTTGTTTCAAGTAGGTGCTTTAGACCACTGAGC